TACCTATTTCCTTGAATAGATGATCTTTTTGACCAATTGCAAGGTGCATCAGTTTTCTCTAAGATTGATCTAAGGTCTGGCTGCCATCAGCTAAAGATTAGGCCTGAGGATGTGCCCAAGACGGCATTTAGAACCCGTTATGGGTACTACGAGTTCCTAGTTATGTCGTTTGGATTGACAAATGCGCCTGCAGCTTTTATGAGTTTGAGGAATGGTGTGTTCAAACCATTTCATGATTCATTTGTTATAGTCTTTATTGATGATATTTTGGTGTATTCTAAAAGTGAGGAAGAGCATGCCGACCATCTTCGTATTGTTCTGGGTATTCTTGGGAAGCAAGATTTATACAGAAATTTTCTGAGTGTGAATTTTGGTTGACTTCGGTTACCTTTTTGGGGCATGTAGTTTCAAAAGAAGGGGTAGTGGTAGATCCCCAAAAGATTGAAGCGGTTAAGAATTGGGTTCGACCTAGCTCTGTGACTGAAGTTAAAATTTATGGGGCTTGATAGCTTATTGTCGATTTGTGAAGAACTTTGCTTCTATCGTCACACATTTGACAAATTTAACGAAAAAAAAGATAATGGACTGAAAAATGCGAGGAGAGCTTTCAAAAACTCAAGACTCTTTAGACCACATCACCTATTCTAGCACTACCGGTGGAAGGTAAAGATTTTATTGTTTATTGTGATGTTTCACATTCAGGCTTAGGTGTTGTGTTGATGCAGGATAAGAATGTCATAGCTTATGCATCACGACAGTTGAAGGTGCTGAGAGGAATTATCCAACACATGATTTAGAATTGGCAGTGGTAGATTTTACTCTTAAGATCTGGCGGCATTATCTTTATGGTGTTAAGTGTGAGGTATTTACTGATCATCGTATCTTGCAGCACGTTTTCACTCAAAAAGATTCGAATTTGAGACAGCGAAGGTGGATGGAGTTACTCAAGGACTATGATGTGACCATCCAATATCATCCGGGTAAGGCTAATGTAGTGGTAGATGCACTAAGTCGAAAGACGGTGAGTATGGATAGTTTAGCTTGCTTGAGTGTATCCAAGCGACCCTTGGCTAAGGAAATTCAAACCTTGGAATCGAAGTTCATGCAGTTGGGCATCTCAGAGAAAGGTGGGGTGCTAGCTAGCATTAAAGTAAGGGTCACGTTCATTGAGGAGATCAAGGCCAAACAGTTTGAGGATGAAAATTTGAATGAGCTTAGAAAGAAGACTGTGATTGGTAAGGCACAAGAGACCACTCTTGATGCGGAAGGTGTGCTCAGTTTTAAATGAAGGATTTGTGTTCCTAGAGTGGGCGACTTGATTCAGAAATTATTGGTAAAATCCCATGGTTCACAGTATTCTATCCATCTGGATGTGACCAAGATGTACCGAGACTTGAAGCGTCTTTATTGATGGCTTGGCATGAAGAAGGATATAGCGAAGTTTGTGGCTAAGTGTCAAAATTGCCAACAAGTAAAATATGAGCATCAAAGGCCGGCGGGTTTTCTTCAGAGAATGCCGATTCCGAAATGGATGTGGGAAATGATAGCTATGGATTTTGTGGTTGGTTTTCCCAAGACCTTGGGGAAATTTGAGTCTATTTGGGTAGTAGTGGACAGATTGACCAAGTCATCCCATTTTATTCCAGTCAGAATAGATTATAATGCTCAACAATTGGCTAAGGTTTATGTGAAAGAGATAGTGAGGTTGCACGGGGTGCCCCTTTCTATCATCTCAAACCGTGGTACGCAATTTACCTCCAAGTTTTAGAGAAAGTTACATGATGAATTTGGCACACAACTCACTTTTAGTACCGCTTCCATCCATAGACGGACGAACAATCAGAGAGGACTATTCAAGTGTTAGAAGACATGTTGAGGGCATGTGTGATTGATTTTGGAGGGCACTGGGATAAGTTCCTACCGTCGTGTGAGTTCTCCTACAATAATAGTTATCACTCCAGCATAGATATGGCACCGTTTGAGGTACTCTATGGGATAGGATGTAGATCACCCATATGATGGTTCGAGGCTAGAGATGTAAAACCTTTGGGGGTTGAATTAGTGAAGGATGGTCAAGATAAAGTGAAGAGTATTTAAGTTAAGCTTTTATTATCCCAGAGTAGACAGAAGAAGTATGTAGAAAATAAGGTAAGAGACATGACATTTCAGACTGGTGAGAAAGTTCTTCTTAAGGTATCACCCATGAAAGGGGTGATGAGATTTGGCAAGAAGGGCAAGCTAATTCTGCAATACATTGGTCCCTTTGAGGTTCTTGAATGTGCAGGGCCAGTGGATTATAGATTGGCTTTACCTCCTAACCTATTGGGAGTTCATTCGGTATTTCATGTGTCCATGTTGAAGAGATATCATGGTGATGGGGATTACATCATAAAATGGGACTCAGTTATGTTAGACAAAGACCTTCAGTATGAGAAGGAACCGATTGCAATTCTTGATCGTGATGTCCGAAAGCTGAGGACCAAGGAGATTAAGTATGTGAAAGTTCAATGGAAACATCGTCCAACTGACAAAGCTACTTAGGGAACCGAGAAGGACATGCAAGACAAGTATCCCCAGTTGTTCGTCGATTCAAGTACTACTCTACTATAACTTTAGCCCATCTTTCCTAGTTTGTCACTCAGGGACAAGTGATGGGTAAATTGGTATCTATTGCAACGACCTATTCCCGTCGTTATAGAAAATCCAACGGGGAAAATTTTTGGGTCGGAAAACTTTTTGGTCGTAACTTGGAATTTCCCAACCTAGTCTAGATTTGGACGAAATCAGAGTCAGTAAGGTCTAGGGAAATCTAGTAACAATTGGGAGATCTAATTATGAATTTGATCATATGATTAGATACCTAAGACGTTAAGGAACCCATACGACTTTACAAAATCGAATTCGGGGGAATAGAACTCCCGAAACTGATCTTAGCGTGAACGGGTATTTTTTGAGTGCCATGGGACAAAGGTGTGTTGTGAAATGGGAGTTTAAAACTCTTAAATCGACTCACTGATTCCGTGCAACCCGATGTGGCAGAATTATCCCGCCTGGGCGGGGCCGCTATAGCGGGGTGAGGACCGTTGTGGCTGGACAGACGCGACTTAAGTCGGAAATAACCCCAAAAATGTTTTATTCTACAAGTTTCAACTGTGAGAGCTAAGGAACAACCCCAGGTGTTTTCTTGACAGTTTTTCACCATTCTTGAGGCTAAAGGTAAGGTTTTCACTCTCCGAATCCATTTTTCAATCCGTAGAATTTAGTTTCTTGGGTAATTATCGATGGGGGAGGGTTTTGATCTGTGATTTATGGTGGAATAAACCCTAACCTGGGTATAGGGATCAAGGGTTTGGCCTAGGATGGATGTTATTGGTTATAATCCGGGTAATTAGGTCTTGTTTATTGATCCTCGCATTATTATGATTGTTTGTAGACCAAGAACAAGCGAAAAGAAGTTGGAAAAGGGAAGAATCAAGTTTATTAGGGGATTCAAGCTTTGTTCGAGGTAGGTGATGGTTGTGATTTCATATTGGTGTGATATATATTTGTAATTACTTTATTATAACGCATGTATATATGTGAATGTTGCATTATTGATCCCACTAATCGTAAATGAGGATAATTAAAGAATTGCATGTCATGAATCATGACTTGAATGTATGCTTATGAGAATGTACATTGTGATTGTGATTGTGACTTGTTTGAATGGATCGGGTGTTACGTTCCAACACACTAACTTGGATCGGGTGTCACGTTTTGGCGCATATATGGGATCGGGTGTCACGTTTCGGCGCATATATGGGATCGGGTGCACGTTTCGGCGCATATATGGGATCGGGTGTCACGTCCGACACACTAACTTCGATCGGGTACCACATATCGATACACTAACTGTTTAAGTGTGGGTTCCGTGAGAGGACCAATGACTTGGAAAATTTCTATATCTTGAGATTGTGCAATTGTACGTTGTTCGTAAATGATATTGGTATTGTATTTGTTCGGTGTATGCATGTTTATTATGTTGTAATGACTTTATATATGTTTCACTTAATGGGATAGCCGCGTAATCCTACCAATACACTGTGGTTGTGTACTGATACTGCACTTGCTCTTTCTTTGTTGAGTACAAGGCATCTTCAGGCGGCTACTGACAGACCTCATTTAGAAAATTAGTGATCGACTCGAATTCAAGGGTGAGTCAGTTCTTCTAGGATGTCATGAGTTCTCTTTTATTTTTGTCCACATCTTCGGACTTAGAATAGTACCTTAGATTTTCCTATGTTTAATTGGGTTGTACCCATTTCCTTAGACTTATGGTTCCTTATTAGAGTTTTTGGTACATTGACTTTCAGGTTCTAGGCATTATTTCCGCATTTGGTTGTTAGACTTTTGTTGGAGTTTATGGGAACTCCCTATTTTTCCTTTTCTTACACATTTAAACTTGTTTCCGTATCTTTAAATGTGTAGTATTTTGGTTAAGGCTACTAAGTTGGGTTGTAGTAATGTTTCTCCCACCGGAGGGTTAGTGTGGGTGTCAATCACGATGGTCTGGGTCGTGACACTTATTGAGTTCATATCATTTTTAAATTTTTGATAAATTTATTTTAATAGTTATATTCTTATTCAACTACTTTCCATATATAATAAGGTAAGAAATTTAATTTTTGTTGTATGTAACTAATGTTTCTTAAAATTACATTTATATTTGATAATTAAAATATGGTAAAATTAAGTAAGTATATTAAAATATTTTTCATTTTAACTTGAAATTTCAAATTTCACTAATTTTATTGACTACATATCATCTTTGAGTATTTGATAAATTTAGAAGATAGATTTTTATTTATGCTACTTTCCATATATAATATGGTAAGAAATTTAATTCATTCTATTGGTTGGGGGGGGGGGGGGAGTATGTGTATAAATATCATGGTAATTCATTATTTCTAAGTACCAGTTCTTGAAATTAGTTCATTAATAAAGCTTATGTTATTCTAGTAATGGAGGGTAAGAAGACTGTCGGACATCAAACAATCTCCATGGGAAAAAATGAAAACGAAGTTCTTCAATATGCCTCATTTTCAAAACGTCGATTGAGTTTATATGAATTGGCTGGTGAACTCATTCAACAACATGATGTTGACATAGGAATAGTTCTTTTTTCTCCAACAAATAAGCCTCATTCATTTTTCCACCCAACTGCTGAAACAGTTACTCAACATCTTTTGAATCCAAATATAGAATTAAGTGACACTACACAACTTGCTGCGACATGTGTTCGAAACAATGTGAATGAAATCGAATTTAAACTAGCAGAGTTTAAAATTAGAGAAGATGTTGCAAGCAAGCAAACCATTATACTTGATCAAGCCATAGAGATGAGAGAAATTGGTTGGTGGGAGGAAATTGAAAAGCTCAAAAGTGATGAGTTAACTCAGTTTGAAGCTTGGCTAAATGTTGCTGATTCTAACATGAAATATCGTCTAGAGCAATTGGAAAATGAAGTTGCATCTAATGTTTCATAGATAGATTTATATCTACATTAATTTTTGAAATTTTATTAATGGTTCTGTTTTTTTTTAAAAAATTTATAATTTTATACTAATGATGCTAAGCAATTACATGTACTCTGCAATGATATTTATTATGAAATATTATTCTCATTAATATTAATATTATCTTTTCTCTTACATGTTTGATCTCTTGTTTTTTATGTTATGTTTTTAAGTATTTCTTGTGAGGTATTACTTAATTTATTGTGTTCTTGCACATTTTTGTGATATTTAAACAAGAAGAAGAAATTGTAGGCTCAATTCTTATATTCACTCATTGATAATAGATTCACGTGATTTGATACTTATACTTCACGCATTTCGCTAAGAAAGCAAAACAGGAAGCGGCAATAGCAAACATTACCCTCACTCAGAACAATATGCTCTTGGGAGACATGAAGCACAATCAACCTCTCTACCTTAAGACTTCTAACATGGTCGATTCTAGATAGAACACGGTAACCCACAACCCCCTACTCTACAAAACAAAGAGTGGAAAATCTAATGAGACAAAGGACCTCTATGTGTAATTGGTTGGTTCGGTTCTATTTTATATATAACTAGGGAATTTGACCGCACTTCGCGCGGTCTTTGAAATAATTATTAAAGAATTACTTTTTTTTCAATCAATTATATACGTTCTCTCTATGTCCAAATGTAACATTATCACTTTATTTTTTAATTATATATTAATTATGAAGATCGTTTTGAGATGACGATTGAAATGAAACTTAACAAATTTAACATTTATAATCTATAAAATGGGGATAGTACATTGTTAATCAATATGTCAAGATATATTTTCTTAGTAATTCTTTTCTTTCGTTTATATTGCATTGACCGGGTATTTAACAATAAATTTTGATGTCACTTTGTACATTTTATTGAAATATCAATGAGTTTGAATCTTTATATTACAACCTATACTTCGGTGTACCTTTTTTCTTGAGTATCTAAGAATGATGTTGTGAAGTAACTGAAAAATACTAATGAAACACATCAGCACGTCTTATTATTCTTTGTCATATTGATATGATAAAACTCCTTTAAATATTTCATTATTCAATCGTTCTTGTTCCTTTTTCAAATATACAATTTAGATTTGCATTTTTTTTTTGGATAAATCACATCTATTGGTATTTTAGATTCTTTAGTTGTATTTATATCAAAAGATAAATGTTATATTACACTTGTCAAATATGATTTTTCATAAAGTAATCTAAAATCGTTACACTACTAATTATTAAGTCTCAATATATTCAACCTCAAATGAGAACATAATTTTTTTTTAAATTATTAACTCGCTTACTATATTTTTATTTATATCTTTTATATGAAATATAGAGATAAATAGATTCATATTAACTATGTAAAAATATTTATAGATAATAAATCTCTTCACATATTATATAGAGACTAATAAAATTGAAGGTTAATTAAATTGAATACTCTGATAATATGCTTTAATTTCAAATATACTCCTTGCATTTTCAAATCAAAATGATTACACATCTTTCTATATGAAATTAATACATGGACACCCCACGTGAGATATATGTTCATAACTAAGTATATTAAAATACAATTTAAAAATTTAATCATAAAGTTTTTATGTACTAAATTTTGTGATTTTACTTTTATGATACATTAAAAATCGAATCAACTTATTTCTTCATTTGTATTCAGTTTTATTTAAAATTTTCAAAAGATACATAATTAACAAAAATAAATTAGTTTATCGAATGCATGAATAAAAAATTTTGGCATAAATATTTATCCTATTTTTAAATTTCATAAAATATATATAATAAGTATTTATATTAACAATTTTATTTATTTTGATAATTATATTTTATATACTTCAAAAGAGTTATAAAAGTAAGATTTCATAGTATAAAGAATATAAGTATTTAATAATAAAATATATGCGTGGAGTGCAATTAACATATAAGTAAACCAAGGCAAAAGGAGAACAATTTTTACTTAAAATTTTGCAAAATCATCAATTATGGGATCAATATTTTCATCCATTAGATTTTGTTTTTCAACTAATTCTTTCAATTCATATATAATAAAACGTGAAATAAAAAATAGATAAATTAAAGTGGATTAAAAAAACAATAAATTAAAATAATAAAAATACAAGTTATAGTATTGGTTCATTAAATTACACTTTTTTTCAATTGTTATTTTCTACTAGTATTCGTACCCACGCGTTGCACGGATATTTTAAAATTAAAAATAATTTATAAAATTTATTATTCACTTATTAATTTATTTTTAAAAGTAATTATAGTAATACATTATACTATTTATATGATCATAGTAACTAACTTATACATAACTTTATTTGTTATAATATTATTGTAATAGTTTTAATCAAATACGTTTTTAGTTTACAATATATTTCTGTTGAACCATTAATAAAATCATTATTTTTTTAACGGAAAGAAAATCAAATTCTAACTTTCCACATAAAATGTTTAATACTATAAGAATAAAGACAAATTTAAATATTTTAGATATGTATAATTCAAAACCACAAGTTTCAAAAATATTTTTTATTGATTTTAATTCGAGTTAAACTATTAATGGACAATTTATTTAACTTACAATAATAAATAATTATTTAATATTAGTATAAACATGAAAAAAAAAAACTAATACATAATTCATAAATGCATTTTATATTTATTGAAATTAATTAAATACACATAGTGAAATAATTGTTTGATCTTATATATAAGTGATTATTCAATAAAGAATTTTGATAAGTTATATTTTATTTATTCACTATAAATAACTCAACAAACTATACACAGTAAAAAAAACAGAAAAATGTTATAAATCTGTAATTTATTTTTACAATAAAAAGTAGTTAAATGATCCCAATTACAATAACTGAATAAATTTTATTTTATTTTTTTAAAATAAAAAACACGCGTTAGATATATATAAAAAAATAAAAATAATGTGTCTACAACAAAACAATTAAAAAACTTTTTAAGATCACGTGATATGTTTAATAAGATTTCGACCTTGTCAATAAATGCATAATTACTTGTCAAACGGAAACAAAAGGGCCAGAGAATAACATGAATTCTATGTTGAATTTTTCTTCCTTCAAAATATGTGATCTTTTATAACTCGTTTTTTCATTTCCTTCAAACATTATTTGTCTTAATATTAGTATCAATGTTTAAAAATTTTAAATCATAGAGTTACCACTATAAATTTCCCAAAAGTGTTCCTATCATATCACTTGAGATAGTATTTTAGGAAAAAAGATTAGTATATCCACTTTCAATTAAATAAATTATATCATAAAGGCATGCAATATCTTATCGGGGTCGTAGAAATTACAATCATATGCTATTATTTGATCAATAAACGATATTTTAAGCCTCTATCTATGTTTGTATAAGTGACAAATATTCATCTCAATTTCAACCAAAATGTCTAATG